AGGAGGGAGGCTTGTACATCTTAGCTCGTTGGCATATTTGGCAGTAAGGGTTTTTAGGGACATGAGTCATGAGGTGTTCACGGGTTGTTGATTCTTTGATCAGAGCTTCTTTGCTCCGACTGCGAGCTCTATGTTCAGGTGTTTCAGGATCGTCACTTGATGCTGCTTCCCCATCGGGGGCATCGGCCACTGCCGGGGCAGGAGGACCAATGTCCGGTTCAGCACGCACCTCGTCAGAGGGCGGAGCAGGGCGAGAACCATCCAGGATGGCTCGTACACGCGCCGCTCCGTCAGACCTGAGGAGACCAGAGTCTCGAACACCATCCCTGGGCTCGGATTTTGCTTTTGGTTCAGGCTTAGGCTTAGCTTTAAGTTTTACTGTAGGCTTGGTGCGGTCCGGCAGAGGCCGGACAGGCGTGTCTTCCTCCATCAGTTCCCTGAGAGTCCTTTCGTCAGGATCATCGGCGGACGCCGGCGCGATAGGAACCCTCTTGTGAGGAATGACAAACCCACAACCTCGAAGCTTCGCAACGTCCTGGTTATCAAGTTGGTAAACTGACCTACAGGTGTAGGCAGTAATGCTCCAACGTTCACCTTTCCAAGGCCTTACGGAATGGGATGTCTTCGGGTCAAAAACAACAATCTTGTTGTGACTGTCATGGACCATCCCAGGGAGTTTGGTGCCTACAGAATCCTTGACCTCTAGATAATTTTTATTGGTTTTCATAGCGTTCGGGTCATGAATCCAAAGGCCACCATTGGAAAACTCTCCCACGGCAATCGTAACATTGAGATGGTCTTTGTGATTGTTCACATCCTTATGGACCTTGATAGGCGAGTTCTGGTTGATGCAAAGTGAGGAACAGCTCTCCAACTCCGCGCCTCTCTTGCGAAGAAACGCGATGAGATACTTGATAGTGTTAACATGGCGTCCAGTTCTCTTGGTTACACCATGAAACCCTCCGTGCGCAAAGGCACCAAGTATCACGTACTTCTCTTTGCTATTGCCATGCTTCTCTCCTAGTGCTTTTCTTCTACTCCTACCTGCTCCGAAATTGACGGTGCGCAAGAGATCAACGCATGATCGCTCCGAGAAGTCGTGCTTCTCCAGAAGCTGCAAAGCAATCTCTTCAGAGCTGCGATCAGGCATTTCACTTCTGATAACCGGCTGAATCTCATCGGACTTAGATTCACGCGCAGGGCAGGCAGTGCCCTCCTTCCACGATTTGAGGAAAGGCACATTATCTCGAACATCAAGGAAAACTCTTTCACCCTCAGGAGTCTTCAAGTAAGGGCGAGCGCAGGCTCTCCAAATGAAATCGAAACCTTGCTCCATGCAACGCTGTCCTATGGAGAGGACTGAAGGAGTGTCGGGCAGCACATAAGGCTTGGCAGAAATAGCAATCGACGGAACATCGACATCACATTGCTTGTCAGCGGAGCTGGGACCGTTCGCGGTCATGATGTTGATCGGCTGCTCAGACTCATAAGCCTTCAAATGCTGGAGATCCCTCTCAGCGATTAGGTCTTGTGCACTCCCCGTGTCGCCAATCCATTCAAGGTTAAGCATCTTAGAGGACCCTTTAGTCTTAGCAGGGCACGACATTCTGAAACCCTTTGGGATACAGTGATTACATCCAATCTCCGAATCACACTCCCAGCGGCAGGCCGGGACGTCGTCCTTGGTAGAGATGGAAGCTTTCAGCATCTTCGCTGACATCTGGGCCTCTCGGATGGAGTCTGCTCTGGTTTCTGGAACAAAATCCAAAGGCTTTTCTCCTCGATGCTTACGGTTGGTGGGCGATACTGGAGTGAACCTCGCGTTGGGATCACTAACAGGAATGTTAATGTAATCGACTTCAGAGCTGAAATTTACCGCTGGTAGCGCCAGACTATAGGGATACGTGCAATTGGTGATCTGGTCCGTCCACTCCTTCCGGAGGGAGAAAGCATCGGCTTGGGTGGCCGAACCAGCAACAAGAGCACTAAGGAGACATACAACAGCAGGGATACCGCCTGAAGGCTTCTTTCTGCCTGAGCCCTTCGAGTTCTTGGAGCCTTGACTTCCCTTGGAATTCCTGCTACCCTTAGAACCCTTGGAGCTAGAGCGAGAAGACTTGCGATCTTTCTTCTTCTTGCGGTCCTTCTTCTTCCCTTTGCCTTTTGACCCCTTCCCACTGGTTTCGGAAGGCGCAGCTGCACCTGGCTTGCCCGTGTGGAGAAAATTGCAGTTCTCCCCCCGATCGCAACGTCCTTGCTTGTAGAACTTGCAGATCTTAGGCTTACCACCGGGGCTTGCAGAGTTTGCTTGTGAGCCAGCCGGCGTAGCGGAGCGGCCGCGTCCCTTGGCCGGAGTCTGGTGCTTGTACTTACATTGGTCACCTTTGGTACAGGAACCATTACGGACCCATGAAATGCAGAAACCTTTAGGAACCCTCTTAGGTGCAGGTGCGGTGGGCACAGCAGGACTGCCCGTCTGTCGAGCCATCCGTTCCCGGTTGCGTTCAAGGCGCTTCCTGTTGAGGTGCGCATTCGCAGCATCATACAGGAAACTGTAGGACCGTTCTTTGGAACCTTCAAGAGCTCTTTCATAGATGTTGATGTCATGCGAGAGAGCCTTGACCTTCTTGACCTGTCTGTGGAATAGTGGTTCGAGGAATGATGCTTCAGGGGTTTTGGGAATCCCCGACAACACCGTGTCCCAATTTCGCATAAAGGTGAGAAGATTCTCATTGAGCAGCGTGACTGAAAGCAAATCTTCCATGTCATACACCGCTCCGTGCTGAGCGTTCGTCGCAAAGTAGTTGTGAATCCTGAAGAGAATCTGCCTTCCTCTAACTGGGCGTCCGGCGTTGGCCTCTGTTTCTTTGAAGGTGTCCACCTGACGTGCAAAGTCGCCTTCCAGGATGTTTGACAGAGCTGAAAGGATCTTAGCATCAAGGGTGGTGAATCCTTCCGGATCACGAAGGGTTTCCTCCTTCATATCGGCTTCCCAAACCCTAGACAACCATTCGAAAGCTTTGTCGGGCTTATCAGATGCAGCTACAACAGCGTCACGAACTCTGATGCGCCAATTGCGATAGCTCTCAGGCTGAGGAAACTTTGGGACTAAAACCTTCTCAGCTTCCTTGGTTTTGGGAGCCTTATCCGATGACTCGGCTTTATCGGCATCTTTGTCATTTGAACCACCTTTCATCATCTTCTTGAAAAATCTCTTCATCTCTTTTGGTGAAATCGCCGAAGATGAGGAAGAATCAGAGGACGAAGATGAGTCCCTCTTTTTCTTCTTCTTCTTCTTCTTCTTCTTCTTCTTCTTCTTCTTCTTTTTGTCGTCCTTCTTTTTCTTCTTGTCTCCATCATCATCATCATCGTCATCATCTGGGTCACCTGGCTTGCCTTTGCCTTGGCCAGGCGGTGTGTCGAGGCGATGCACCTGTGGGAGGCCGGGCGGTGGCCCGCTAGGACCAGGGTTGCCTTCCGGCTCCCGATGATGGGGCGAATCGGTCTGACTGGCAGCCTTCTGTAGCATCTCTTGAGCTTGAAGCAGCTTAGCACGAAGATCAGAGTTCTCGCTCGTGAGTGCTGAGCGATGCTCGGCTTCAGAATTGAAGCGTCCGAGCATAGCATTGAATTCAACCTTCATGCTCTCAACCTGTTCGGATAGCCTCGCATTGTGAACGGCGTACTCACTCTGAACATTGTGAGGAAGCCTCTCAAGCTTGGAGTACTCGGCATTAGCGTAGGCTTCCGCCTCGCAAAGACGCTTGTGAAGCTCAATGGCTTCAGTCCTTGCTCTGGCAAGAGCAGCAGAATGCTGATCAATGATACCTTGATCGTTGCTCGACTTAGTGGCGGCTTCACTCTCAAGCTGCTTAAGATTGTTTTGAAGGACGGTATACTCATGACGCAATTGTGCCACCTTGGATGTGGCCTGGGAACTAAGTATGTTGATTTCCTCCCTATGAGCCTCCCCTATGGCTCCTAGAATTTCCCTGTGGCGCGCCTCTGCGGCCATGGCAACGGCTGGCCCAGTATCGGCGTTGACGTGGATGTCAACCTGGCTCAGCGCCAATTGCCTTGCGTCGACTTGATTCACCTGGAGCTGCCTACGGTCTATGTTCTGGGCATTGAATGTCGGAGAGAACACTGAATGAGCTCTCTCTGTCGGTGAGTATGCTGGGGTGCTTAGCCCTGGAACCATGTTCCACGAGTTCATGGAGCCTAAACCTGGAACATTACCAGTTGCAAGGCGTTGCTCGCTAACTGCTCCGACATGCATGATTCTCGGATCGTTCTGGGCTGAAAGCATTGCCAAGTTCTCTTGGCTGAGCGGCATAATCTCACCATCCCTGGGGGGAGGGTTTGTCGATACAGCTGTAGGTTCCCCTACAACGGGGTTGCTAAGCAGTGACATTGTTTCATCCTCCACAGGTACGGGGATTGCTGCAGCATTTCCGGGAGATTGCCCTTCCATGACACCGGCAGGTAGTGTTAGAGTCTACGGCTGATAACCTTTTTGTTACCAGCGGAAAGCCCTAAACTCAACGAGTACAGTGCAACGCACTTTTTGTCTTGAGCCAACAAAGTAGCGTAAGTATGGTAATACAGCTGATATCTTGAAGTATCGACAGAGGCCTCAAAGGGGTTTAGGGTTTAGGGTCAAGGCAGGCAAGGGTTTAGCGTTTCGGCTCTCACACTCGCACAAGGCAGGCAAGATTCGGTCGGAAGGTCCACTTACTACGACAGTCGTCGGGATTCCCATCTCACAAGGACCAAACAAAGAGGGTTTAGGAGTCAGTGTGCATGTTGTGTAAACAAGCGCAACAGATGCCCCATGATGCATCTCAGCGCAGTTGCTAGATCTTACTGGTATTGACACGCTCAAGTGGTCGCGTGCCGAGTTGTTCAAGGTCATTATGTTGCTGATCCAGAGTCTGCTCGCAAGACTGCTTGGTTAGATCGTGTGCCTTGAAGTTCTACCCGTTTCTGTGCCGAGAGGCAGCCTTCGTGACGGCGATGCCCCACACCAGCGCGCCTGAACGCGATTGCAACAAACCTACACAAGTTGGCTCCATTCTCGCGATGGAGAACCAGGAGAGTCTCAAGTCCCTTGCGACGGTCCGGCACAACACATGCGGAGGCAGGCGCCTAGTGTGCAAGCTGTCGCGAGCCTTAGCAGGCTTTCTTTTAGTGACAGTGCTACAGCACCCAACCCTCACAAAATGCAAGCATTCGATGCACGACAGCATTCCGCCTCTTTGAGCGGCCATTATGCGTTAAGTGATTCCAAAATGAACTGGAAAAACAGCATGCAGGAACTGGGAAACAACATGATAGCAATGACCTGTTCACAACACCTTCCGAGCAGGGAAAAGCGGAGGAGTCTGGCACAGGCAGCCCTTCGCCGCACACTGCACACCTGTTCGGTGCTGATTTGCTCACACCGTCTCAGCTTCGGCTAGTGCCAAATGCGATGCTCTAGCTTGCGTGTCGGTATTCCTGCCCCTCGACTCGACAGTGCTTGATAATGCTTCTTATGCATGCCTTACAGTTTATGGCCGCGGGAGCAAGCAAACTCGGTTCAGGCTAGCCTGTTGCATAGTCGAGCCAATTGCAGCTCGACTGTGCATGTGCTTTTGCACAGGCCAGCAACATCTAGCAATCAAGCAGCAAGCCGTTGGCAACAGCTGTCTGCAGGGCGTGTCACTATGCAGCAGCATAGAACTGTACTGAAGTCGTGTACTTGTTGATTCAAAAACCAACCCTACCCTGAAAGCCAAGAGGTAGCAGGCAGTTGCTCAAGATTTGCTGAAATTTGCTCCTAGGAAACCCCGTGTGCTAGTATGCCGCCTAGGCAGCGACGCGCAAGACAGTGTGGACATCCTACAAGAAGAAGCAGCTTCAAAAAATTGTCTATTCCCATGTGTCAGGGGTCAGAAGGCATAGACGGAGCCAAATGGTTCAGAAGCGCTCTTCATTGGACGCATAGCCCACCAGGCTTCGAAAAGCATTCAGACCCAGCACGTTACCTTTGATTTTGGGAGGCTCGCTGGGAAATTCCGGGTCAACTAGATCGAGGTTTAGGTGGGAAGGACTATGGGAAGAGGTTGCGTGGATATACTCTGAGGGCAACGACTGCATCATCAACCATCAGCGCAAAGCCCATGCCCATACCTCAAAGCTTACCCTCGCCTGCCAAGCTGCTCACAGCCGACTTCAGGAACGTTTTCAGCAAAAGAACCTCGAAAGTTTTGACTGCCATGCAATCTGACGCTTTGGTTTCGGAAAGTGCGATCTAGCTCCGCTTGGAACCTAATTCTCTTAATGCTATCGTCACCGAGTTGCGATGAGAAACTCGGGTCCAACTGGACCCACCTCCGAGGGCAACACCCACTACGTGCAATGCTAAATCGCTGTGACACATGTCCTCCCCTTGATGATGTTACTATCTACAGCCGACGTCCTTTCACACAAGTGTGCTACGACATTCATGACGACATCTAGCCGACAAGCGAAGGACAGCTAAATTCGCCCTTCACACCTCTTCAGAGAAATCCTCATACCGCAGATCGGCTGTAGCAATGTTCGCCTGACATACAGATGGCACAGTCGATTCACTGCAGGGCACAAGGAGCAGAGAATCTTCAGAGAAGCAGCACGAAACACCACGCAAGCACTGAGAGCGTGCGTTTGGCTTCATACTGACAGGAACAGCCTTCGGCCTTAGAACACCTTAAGCCACCCGACGTACTATCGAAAATTCGCTCTATGAGCACACCGATCGGCCCGAGGGCAGCAAGCGGTCACTCTGGAGTAGCAGGCTCGCACTTGGGTATCGGTGGCGCTTTTCTCTGTTGGACTGCAAGGTCAGCAAAGCGAAGCGCGCGAAGCCCACTAACCGATCGGGCATGCAATGCGAAAGCATTCCCGAGCCCTCCGGCCATCGCAGCAACGAGCCCCTGCAGCCGCACCGCAATATCCTCAGGCACACTTGGTCACGCGGCACATCCCTGTTCCAATTGCCGACAAAGCATGCCCACGCTTCGGCCTCCACCACCACACGTCGAAACGTCAATCTCGGCGGCTCATTCCTCAGGCTGCCGAAGGCAGATGACACCAGCTTCTCGTGTCGTCCTTCTCGTTTTTTCTGCAGCAGGCAGCAGGAAACCTCCTTTTTCACAAGGGACTCGACTGCTGCCCCGATTGCCCAGCCCGGCCCTTTTCGAGGTTGAACGGAGTCCTGCTGCTTCTCCTAAGCCTTGTTTGCACTTCTTCATTGGCAAAACATGGTAGTGTTGCTGCACAACGGCGCATCTTAAACATATATATATATATATATATATATATATGCATACATATATATATATATGTATAAACTAAACCCTAGAATATGGCATAAAGAATACACAAACACACAAAATATCAACATCCACACCCATGAGCCCAACAGGCCCAACATCCACCCCTCAAGGGTTTGCGTTGGCCCAACATCCACCCCTCAAGCGTGGATGTTACGTTGCACCTCGAGCGTGGACGTTGGCCCAACATCCACCGGTGGTGGGCCACCCCTTAAGCGCGGATGTTGGCCCAGCATCCACCCCTCAAGCGTGGATGTTGGCTCACCAAACATCCACCCGTCAGCGGACGGTGCATCATGACCCGGCACAGCTGGCCCGACCACGCACCAGATTCCCCCCCCTTCCCCCTCGCCCACCCCTCTCGCCCCCCACCGACTTCTTTGCTGACATTGTCTCTCACAGTTTACGCAACATGTTTTCGTAGATTCGGTGTTAATCTGCTCCAGGAGACCAAAGGAAAAGGAAACAAAACCGGACCAGGGCCGGAGGGTCGGAGGGCCGTGGAACCGACAAAAAACAATTGAGCCACAGAGTTGTTGCAGGGTGCTGTTGCATTCGTATTCCGATCTGGTACAACAATACAGAGCATACTCAGTTGCAACAATAGCCGCCCCCTCCCCAACCCTCCTAGCTTCGGGAGCCCGCTTTGCTATGGCACGCTCTTGCTGGGAAGGATCTCCTTTGGCTTGAGGTTGTCTTTAACCTCGGCAATCTTGTTCAGGACGTCATTCACATTCCTGATGGCAAGAACTCTTGCTTTGTGCGGCACCCTCACCACACCACAAGAAGTGCACTTCACACTGCTGGCTACAGAATGTAGCTGCGTCTGCCACTGCGACTTCTGCTTCTGGTGCTGCTCTCTGTCGCAGCCACTGCTGCGCAGCTCCAGCCCGTGCAGCCGAAGCACGAAGAGTCAAACGTCTTCTCGTACATAAGCTCCACACCTGGGTAGGGCTTCTTCGAGTTCAGATACCAGATAACGCACACACATACGAACTCGCATCAGCTACAATGTCTGAAGAATCTTGCGGGGACCACATGCAAACGCCAACTTACCCACCAAGCGTCCCGAAATGTTCAGCTCCTGCACTGTGAGATGTCGGAACTTGGACTTTGCAAAGTCACGGAAGAGGACGTGACATCGAATCCCTTGGCAGCTTGTAAAAGGCCCAGTAGACTCAGTCACTTATACACACATTACATTGTCGACTTGATGCCTCCACGAATGCGAAACCCAGAACGCATCATCGCAAACATCTCCATCAGTGCCTTGTCCATTCAAGCCGGGCATCGCTTTGCAGTCAGCAGATAAGGTGATCGCCATTCACGATTCTGTGGGTTCTTCATTTCGAGGCCATCGATGCAGATGATCCCTTCATGGATATCCACCTGGTCAAGCAGGCAATCGGTCGGCACGACATATGATGTGTCATGTTTGGAAAGCAGCACATCAACGCTAGCGGCACGTACACGGAATCCACCCGCGACTCCATCTTCAGCACCTCAGCTCCCATCTCGTGAAGTGAACGTGATACTTGCACATAGGCACCACTTAGCACCAGCAGTTACACTGAGCTGACAAGGCACCAGATCACTTAGCGCCTTCAAGCCACTGGCAACTCTGGAGCCCATGATGGCCTGCAGGGTGCCATGCTGATTTCCTTCCATGCTTGGACCGTTACACATGCCAGACTAGACCTACTATCCGCGTTGCTTTGGTGGCTTGTAGCTTCTTGTAGTCTTCCTGAGGATTCCCTGCACCTGCCTTTGCAGAGAAGACGAAAATAGGCACAGCCACAATCACAGCCTCGGAGCAAGAGACGAAGTCCCGACGCAAAGTCGAGAGAGCGACAAGAAATTCCAGCGAAGGCTGCAGCAAAGCAACAGTGCAGCACAACAGTACTCGCAACAGCGTCGGTCTCACTGCCGGATTTCGGCTGGTGAAATAAACCTCGAAAGAAGCAGCCCAGCTGGATCTGTAACTGCCACAGCTCATGACAGCCTCGCCCGGACCAGAAGCTGTGGCACCGGCTATCCATAAGGCAACATAGAGCAGCAGCGGCACAGACATGCCAATCGGAGCGGCGAAGCGACTTAAGTCGCAGCCAGCCTGCCGAGTCACTTCTCAAGCTGCCTGTGCCTACTTGCAAAAAGCTTGAACCCACGTGCAGCAACTGTCGAATCCACGCCTCGCTCTCCATCAAGGGGGAAGCCGAAGCCTCGCAGAGAGCAAGGGTTGCATATGAACAGCCACAACAGCAAAGGGTGGGAGGGGCCAAAGTCCCAAAGAACAGAGGGCAGCCAGGAGGCACTCACTGGCGAGCCCCATGATGAGCAGGCCTCGGACTCGCTTCCTACAACACTACGTCTTTTTGTTGGCAAGATGCCGTGGCAAAATGCGAACTCTGACCTCTCAAGCACAAAGAAAGCTTCCACTAGCTTCCGCAATCAGAAACACCATGCAGCTGGACGGCCAGCCGCGCCCCTCCCTGCGATGGGATGGACCGCGGAGTCCTCACCAAAAGCACACCGTTGCAACATTACCTCTGCACTTCCCCGCACTGCATCTTTTTGAAGACTTCCAGCTCAAATACGTGCAATGAATGCAACAGAAAAGGCACAGAGTACGAATCCTTTAGGATCCTGGGAAGAAAGTGGGTTTCTGGCCTGGGCGATCGGGGCGACAGCTCCTCCTGAGCGCCGCTCAGCTCGAGGGTGCCGGCCCTTCGTTGGTTTCGGGTTTTCGGGTTTTTGTGTGGGATTTTCTGCTGGGTTCTTTCGGGGGGGGGGGGGGGGGGGGGGGGGGTGGGTTTGCTTCATTCCAACTGCATAGCAGTGCATAGCAACCTCACACGACACTGCAGGGATACAAACTGGCGCATCACACGGGCACTCATGCGCACACCTGCCATTCATACGCACTCTCCCTGCAAGTTCACATTCTGCCTTCCACACCTTCCCACCGTTGCATTTTAAATTGGGGGTGGGGAAAAGGGCACAAGAACCTTCTAGCGCAGTTGAGGCACCGAATCGGCAAGGGAGAGTATGTCGCCCCCTTACAAACAGCGACTTGAGACGATCAGCGCTGGAACAAAGTGAAACACAGTATGCAGCCCGTAGCTCCCGGACCTGTGCCCGCTTTCGTGCGAACGATGCTCGAGGCACTCTTGTGGACATGCGCAATCGCGGCAGAAGGAATCGTTGGCAAAATTCGGCCGAGATACCTGACTGCCCCATGCAAAAGCAGCACCTCCCTGCGACTGCATGGCTCCATCAGACACATGGGTGGCAGAACAGTCCCTTTCCGTGTGCTTCCTACGACATATTAGCTTGAGGATCAGTTTTGTCACATGGCTTAGCTTTCAATGCAGCTCATCATGCGTGAGGCCTAGCTTTCAATGCAGCTCATCATGCGCGAAGCTCGCTAAGCAGTTAGAGCTGCAGAGTCCCAGTCCACAAGTCGGCGTGCCTTTTTTCATCGAGATTGCAACACAGTGCTCACTTACCTGCTTGGCAACTTTCCGAGCGCAGGACACACGCGGCCGCGCATTGCGACCCGTAGCACCTGTCGAACTGAGCGGTCTTTCCACAAGGCCGCCATGAATGCAAACAGACATGGGCAGGCCTGCTGTCTGCTTCATCACTCCTCGATCCTCACGGTGCAGCTTCTAAAGGGCCGCGGCTGCAAATCGAGCCAAAAGCAGCAATGCGAACCTGCTCAGCAAAATCAGCAAAAAGATCTCACAAGGCAGAGGGCAACGATACACGACGACGACTGCTACCCAACAGGATCATGCTGCACTCACAAACTGCTGAACCACACCGTCGAAGTGTTTTCGGCATCTTTGTCCGTGCAGAGTTGGTCTAACGGTGTCTAAAAGAACACAGCGAACAGCGTCCACGCGATTTCGCTAGGCCCACTTCAACGCAGGAGCTGGGGCGAGCAAGCGATGCCTGAAGAAGATAACATCAGCGGCCCTCAGGAAGGAACATGGACTGTTTCCGGGCCATTGGGCGCTTGCCCACCTTGGCTTTTGAAGAGCTGGTGCTGCCGCGGCAGACAGCAGTGAATTCAGGGCCTTAGTAGCTGTCAGTCGGAAGCCATGCAGTCAGAGGAAACGCAGAGTATGCGAGAATGACAGGAGCATCTGAAACGAAGCTGCCCAGCGCAGATGCGCTCGAAACACAGAGGCCAATGTGTACTCCAGCAGGCAGGCGGCACCCCTGGAACTGCGGCAATCCGCACAAAGCCCTGAATCCCTAGTTCACCAGGCTCCATGTTGTCTTGACCTCAGTCAAGACAGCCGCTGCCCGCCTATCCAAGCGCTCCTTTAAGCAGACCAAGGAATCCTCGCATGTTGCACACATAGATTGCAACCGTAGGCAGCCGCAAGCTCTAGATTCTTTGCACTTTACGAGTCCTCTTCGCATGGAGCTTGGTGCAGTCTGCCTGCCTCAAGTGGCTAAGAATGCGTAAACTTCGTGTGGATGCTTCATTTTGGCTTGCAGAATCAGCACCAACTGACATCCAGGTGACCACCCCGAAGCAGCGGTTGGCGAAGTCTGCCTCTCTGAATTACACATGGCCAAGCCACTCTCAAGCCTAGGCACGGAAACTGCAGCAAGCGGTGCACTTGAACTGCCACGTCTGCCAAGCTACATGCCAGGCCAGTCGAACCTTCAAGGCTTCCGGAAAACGTATCCGTATCAGATCATTCGAAGCTACTGCCGTGAACACAGATCGTGGCTGGCATGCTAACCATCGGCTTTGCTCGCATCTGACTGGGGACCTTGAGCCTCATCAAACTGTCAGCCCGGTTGGCCACCGCCACCGCATCCTGCCATCTTCTGCCCCAACGCCGCATGCCTGCAAGAGCCTGTCGGCCTTACTTCCACCTTGTTTCAGCCACCAAGTGCCCGGCAGTGTGCAAGGTTTCGCCCGCATTGTTCAAGCTCCCCATCTCCAAACTTCTGGCGAAAAAAACGCTTAGCACTTCAGGAGCCCCTGCGAGTACTTCCACACTTACAGAAGCTATTTTGCATGCCTTGTGCCAGCGTATGGCAACGCCCAAGCATCAGAGGTGGTCACCCCCAACGGCGACCTGGAAGGAGGGAAACAAGAGCCGCAGGACTGTGACCTGCTTGCGAGTCGGTGGTGCATGTGCTGACGCGTTAGGCGCCTGACCTTGTTCTGCGCTTTTCTGGGCTGCCTTCTGGTTTCCTTGAGTATGCACCCAAGGGCCAGGCAGTTGGAAAAATCTGTGTCTACGACATGTTTGCACGTGAGGGTGTGTGCGCGCGTATGTAGTTGACTCATCCAGAAGCCACCACGCCGCAGGGAAAAGACCACTGTCTTGAAACTTCATTCATTTTCGCTCGTCTTCACGTGTCTTCACTTGTGTTCGCTCCTCGCTCGTCTTCGCTCGCGTTGGCGTGTCTTCGCTCGCCTCGCGTGTCTTCGTGGGTCTTTGCTCGTTTCGAGTGTCTTCGCTCGTTTTCGAGTGTCTTCGTGCGTCTTCGCTCGTCTGCGCGTGCCTTTGGTCGTCTTCGGGTGTTCGCTCGTCTTCGCGTGTCTTTGCTCATCTTCCTGCGTCTTCGCTCGCTTTCGCAAGTCTTCGCTCGTCTTATCTCGTCTTCGGGTAGTCTCGTCTTCACGTGTTCTCGCATCTTCGCGTGGCTGCGCAGATCGCGCCGCCGACACAATCACGTATTTAAAGATTGCTCGTTTCCAATGCTGTGTACATGCAGGCGGTCCATTCCAGCAGCGCATTGCGCAAGAGGTGGGGCATTGCAGCACAACCAAAACTGCCTCATGCGATGCACTGTCAGTAGTGATCGGAATCTGCGCCCGTGCTCACGGAGTAACGTGGCCGTTACGCCCAAAGCGCCGGTCGCACACGTTGTCCATTGATGCTGCCAAGGGCCGTCTCTGGCTTGATGGCCGCCACTTCTCATGGACAGCGAAAACAAGCTGAGCACGTACCAACTTCCAAACTGATCGCTCCAGAGCGCAAGCGCCTCAATCAAACAGGCTGAGCTGCACAATGCAGGAAAGGTTTCATCCAAACTACTCCTTCTTTCCATCTTTGTCTTCTTGTTCGGGCATTCCATTGGCTGTCAAGTCCCAAACCACGAAGCTGGGAGATCTGGAACGGGGGAGCTGCCAGCCAGGCCTGCCGCATCACCCTCACGATTCCTCATCCGACCATTGCAGCCTCATGACCCGTGCCTTCCAGGACGTCCAGCAGCAAATCAGCCTGGCAGAGGGCACATGATGGAGCTCGATGACTGGCACCTGGTAACCAACAAGCCCCCGCTCATCAAGGACCCATCGCAGCCTTTGCCGGCACCACGCCCTTGTGGCTTTGAGCTCCAGAGACTTTTGGCGTGCCTAAAGTCAACAAGACATGATTGGCGTGCGCATCCCAAATCCCAGCTTTTCAAAACTAAACAAAGAAGGAAGTCCGACGGGGTATTACCACTGCACCTGCTTGTACTTAATTCGATCAGAACACCTGGTGATGCCATCGACGCAGCTCTCGTCTGAGCGCAGTCCTTGAAGCATCTCTCAAAGTGGCGGCAAGGGTTGTGAGTGCCCGGAGCCTCCGGCGGCGCCAAGACACACAAGTCAACGGGAAGGATTACGCACCCTTGGTAAGGACATTGCAGAAATGCAAGTAGGTAATGCATCAGACAAAGCTTGTGAGCCTGGCCCGTTCCACTGCAATCTCGGCAGCTGCAGCCAACTCGGCCGAAATGGCTCTGTCCTAGCGATCTTCAACTCGGACCAGCTTCAACACGAGATTGGAGCTCGCACAAAAAAAAGGATCGGCGCGCCTCCCCCACGAAGGATCGCCACTCGGCCTGTGCAAAAGACTGCCTAACCAACAGCAAGCAAAAAGCCTTCACGGGTCTGGGCATCTTCCTGCTCGTTTGAAGCAAAGATGGTGCCGCCTCAAGTTTCTGCTGTTCCCAAGACAAGGTCCGAGCAATGGCCTGGCTGCAGGAAGAGCCACTGAACCGGCAATGTGTCGACCAAATCGCCACCCGGGCAATTTGTGGGCCAGCCCACCTTCAAAGCTCGCCAGCGCTCCCAGGCCACCACCAGCCGCCGGATTTCGGCACTGTGCAGGACCTTCGAGGGACAACCTTCCCTTCTACAAGGCGACATAAGTGTCCACTGCTGCCCCTTCTGTCACGGGCCCAGCTAGTGGACACGCCGTTTTCAGAGAAATTGGCACTGGATGCAAGGCATTTTGGTCTCTGTGTGTGGTTGCAAGAGCCTGCGCCAGCTGCCGCGCCAGCCATGCAAGTTGATTCGCCCTGCTTGCTCTCGATGCAGAGAATTCCTTACTTCGCCAAGAATGGCTGGAATGTAAAGCCACAAATAGAAGGTCACATCACAACAGCCCAAGGTTAAACACTCTCAAGTGACTGTAGATAACTGCCCCGTGCTCCGTGCTGTGGCAGTGGTGTTGGTCTTGGCCTGGCCAACCTGACAAAGCTTTATGGCCAGGCAAGCGGCTTACAAGCCTTCTTCCTGCCTTGTGCACAGAAGCACTCATTGCCCTGAGTGCTGCAGTGAGGCCAGGCTCCTGCAAACCACGCGCCATGACAAGCCCATGACCCTCAATCCGCAAAAAGCGTTGCCTCAGCAGGCTGCTGCCATTGCTGGCATGGCTCCGGTGCCTCCGACCAACAAGTGACAACTGAACGTTCCTGGCCTGATGCTTTCCCAGGCACGCAAAGAGCACACAATGAACACACACACACACACACACACTGAACACACACGCACACTGTGCTCACAAACTAGCAATGCACGTACGTAGTTGTCTACACGACATTTGACAAAACAGATCGCAATTCGGGGCGGCACCTCGTTCGCAAATTTCACAATTGCCACTTGCCATTTGCGAAGCGCAGTGCTTTGTGCTTTCGACACCGGTGCTCGCAGGATCTCGGCTCGAAAAGCGTGACCACACGCGACCCAAGATGTTGCTGATTGCTGCTAACTGTCAACCGATGTGCGCCAACAGCTCGAAAGGTACTGGGTAGTGGACCATGCCCAGCAATCTGGCGGCTGCGCGCTGTTCTCGCTTGGCTGCCCCTTACCATGCAGATTGCGACCGTGTCTTGGCAAAATTGTGCAAGACCAGCCAGACTTTCTTTACTCAGTATGGCAAACATGCCTCGTGAGACATCCCATAAGGCAGAAGAGTCTGCAACAAGTGGCGAAACCTGGCATCGCTTGGGCACTACAGTGGCGTGTCCGATGCTGCGCAGGCGAAAGGAGCATCTAGGCAAGGTGGTTCGCCTCGGCTTCCTGCCGAGAAGCGTCTGGAACAAGCAGACCCGGATCGGGCCTCCTTCCAACCCATGCCAAATTTTCTGACGCCACCCCCCCCCCGCCCTGTGGGACCCCCCCCAATCCCTTGGAGGAGCTGCAAACCGATGCCGTGGAGGGTCCCGCTTGTCGGTGGCTCCTACAGGGGGAGTGCCTCAAAACCCCCTTCCCCCCCCCCCACCCCACCCCACCCCCCGCCCCACCCCCCCCCCCCCCCCCCCCACCCCCCCCACCCCCCCCCACCCCCCCCCCACCCCCCCTCACCCTCCCCACCCCCCCCCCCCCACCTGCGAAACCCTCTTTCCTCCTTTCCTGTCCTGGGACCGGCCCGGCTGCCGAGGCGGCGCGCGCAAGCGTTTACAATTACTTTGGTGGCTCCTCGGCTCACGGCACAATCGGATTATACGTCTCAGCATCTTAGATTTTGTCTTCGCAGCAACCTTTGCAGCAGCTTCCGCGCTCGGCTTAAATGCCGCTGCTGGCTGGATCTGTTTGTAACCAACTGATGCGGCTACAAACTACAGAAGCTTGTCGGCATTTCTCGGCGGTGGGGCTGGGGCAAAAAAAACCTCTCACGAAGAAAATCTGGGGAGTCTGCTACTCAACGGGTGCCGTGCGATCTTGGACTCCAAGACCGTGGCGAGGAATCTCCGTCCACTTCAGCTCAACACGACGCGGGAGCAGTGCATTGGTGCGACACTCCGGCCATGCATGGGCCGCGTCACTCCTGCGTCACCGGCGCCAGGCTGCTTACTGCTTACGTGAGGGCGATATTTTGGGCCTGGCCCGGTTGACTTTGTAAGCCGCCAAAAGGGACGCAGCGCCTCCGCAAGCTGCTCGCTTCTCGCCTCAAGGCATATGCCTTCCTGTTGTAGCTAATTACTTTAGCTTTGTTTCAGATTACTTTAATATCAGACACGAGCAAGCGAATATGGCATCTGGAGGCGAACCGCAGATTGGCGGATAGCACGAAGGTTTCAGATCGGCAAATAAATCACCCAAGACACAAGCTCACATTCGAGTAGCAGCCAAGAAGCAGGCCAGGACAGGTGCAGCACATCCTGGACGCAACAGCACACATCATCGCGACGTGACATCACGGATGAAGACCTCGAGAGCTTAGCGGGCCCGTAAATAATGTCCGAAGCTTGTTTCATTTTGGATTTGTTGAAGACTTGTTCCAGGATTTCGAGGGTCACGATCCTCTTGACTGCAGACTGCGTGGCGAAGGCTCTTGCAAGTATGAAGGGTGAAACACGGAAAATACTTATTCTTAACTTATTCTCAGCAGAAAGAAAAACCAACATACAGGCATCAAAACAATACACCAAGCTCAATTGCGGCCCACTGGCAGTTCACAGGTGCCGCATGCCCTACTGGCCACCAGAATATCCGGGCCCTAAGTGCTGAAAACGTACGCCATTTGCACTAGCTGGCTGCCAGATACAGCATGTCACGACGGCAGTTTTTTATGTTTTCCGCATTCGTGCTTACTATTACTTACTCACAGGCTCCAAATCCTCGAATCTCTAATTTGACTTTGTTTGCTTGAGTTGCGAGCCGTCCATTGCGCAACACATGTTGCCAACACGGCTGAAGGAAGGCGATTTACGATATTGACATGATGCAAGGAAAACCTTACAGACTTTGCAAGGAGAGCCGAGGGTTTTTCACTTTTTGACTTGGTGTGAAGAATTCCCTTCCAAGGCGCTGTGACATCTTTGGAGAAGCCAGCCATGTTCAGCACCCTTTGGATCAGCTTGATTCATGACAGGAGCTGTGATGTTGTTTGGCCCACATCTTTTCAACACCTTGCCACGAGTTCGCATTGCTTCCGGGTTGCCCGCTCCAAGCGCTTGCGGGTTCCAAATCGACAACAAGTCTTAAAACACTCTGTTGGCATCCTTCCCAGTGTTTCACGAAGGCAAGCAACCTCCCAACAAACCTAGCGCAGAGGATCATATGATACTGAATAGCACTGAACGAGTGAAACGTGCTGCACGTATGGCCGACAAGATGCCAAACACAGTGCTGGCAGCGCTGGTATGCTTTTCCCGAGCAAGCCAATTTCCAGAGCGTTTCCGCACCGAGTTCTCATGTGGGTTGTTCAGGATGTAAAGTTTTTGAGGCTGTTGCATGCGCTCACTTGCCACGAACATCGCTTTTCCTTCAGGAATGAGAACCCTATAAACCCTAAACCCAAATCGCCAAAGCCTAACCGCCCGACGACCCAAGCCCGATCCCTGTAACTGTCGGCGTTTCGATGCAAGCTGAGGTGCACAAAGCGACAACCGGTTCGAGGATCGTGACCACGACACGTCCGATCCCGGAAGCAACGCAAACAGTTCATCAACTCAGAAGAAACCCAAATTCCAAATATCAGTTGGCAGGTCTGGTCTTACCTTTAACACACATGTCCCGAACAGCATTACACAGGCATTACAACACGTCCTTCCACCGCTTCCATGCCATCGCAACCAGAAAGCTGTTGCGAATTTGTTGCCGCAAGTGGCCTAGGCTCGCATGACAGAAACCGGTCTGGAAACGACCCACGGTCACGGTCAAGGACGAACTACAAACATGATGGTGATCACATTTTGGCTCAAGGATTTTTTTGAAACGCTTTGACATTGTGTTTCTTTTGGTTGGACCGTGCCGCCACATGCCATGTCTGCCGCTCTGATCGGACAGCTCCTTTCGTCATGCGACGGAGCCAATTCCGCGAGCGCGTGGCCCGCACGCAAGACCCACAATACCTTGTGCAGGGGGGAGAGGCGGCGCTACACGAAAATGTCAGGGGCATCAGGTCGCACCCCGGCAGTGCTGCTGGCGCACCTTCTCGGCGACGACAGCACTGCGCCCGAGATCGCCAGCACCCTTGCTCCGCGCCAGCCCCCACACTGGCTCGCCGACAGGGGTCAGCGAGGGCGTGGCGCGAGTCGCATAGCGCAGACACCCCAGCTCCCCCGATGCTCCGAAGGATGCGTCGAGCCCCTTGCGTCGCCGACTTTTCGCATTCGCACTTGAGCGCGTGGAGGAGGCCGACAACCCGGGCCCACCGCCAGAAAGCGACATTGCGGCACGCCGCAAGCACGCGATACACGCATTGGGTCAGATGCGGCTCCTGGCGCCGGCTGAACGCGTTCCATGCGATGCCGAGACAATTCCGGCAACGCTTACACTACCCTTTCGCCTCGCCTCGTATGTGCTGGCAGTCGCAGCATTTAAGGGCCCTGGACCGGTGCCGCGCGCGCCTCGGGGCTGCACGAAACGTTGGCCGGCGCGACACAGGTGTCGTTTGTGCTGGCAGGCGCGGCATTTAGGGGCCCTGGACCAGTTCCGCCCGCGCCTCGGGGCCGCGCGCGCCTCGCGCGAAACGTTGGCAGGCGCGACACAGGTGTCGTTTATGTTTTTTTTGTCGGCCTTTTTCCACCGCGCGCGCCTCGCGCGAAACGTTGGCAGGCGCGACACAGGTGTCGTTTATGTTTTTTTTTGTCGGCCTTCGTCCACTGTCAGACGCCGTCATACGCCGTCACCGAGCCTACAGCCTACCCACAGCTACGGGCGGGCAAGGCCGCGGCTAGGCTGTGGCCCGGCTTGCCTCGTGCAGAGCCGGGGCCGGTCCGGCAGCACAGCGCTCGGTCTGCAGTCGCAGCTCCAGGAACGTAGCTGCAAGCTCGTTGCGCAGCAACCGCGATGAGGCCGCTCCACCGGAGCACCCACGCGGCCTGTGCGGCGGGACGGGGCACAGCCGGCGTCGCGGAGGCGCACGCACGCGCGAGGAGGCGAAGGAAGAAGGCCCACCAACCTCGAGTCTCAGCTGA